ATTGACTTTTACTCAGGCGAATGCATTGCCAAGATGTTTGGCCATTCAGGTGGGTGCTCCCCTGCTTGGAACAGGACACGTCCCCATCCTCCCCCAGCGACACACAGCCTTCTGACTCAGAAGGCAAGAGCAGCTTCTCTACCCTGCTTGCAGAAATCGTCACTGGCATGAAGTTCACCTATGACTGTCGCCACTTGATCACAGTGTCCGGAGACAGGTGGGAAAGGCTTGCAGGGCTTCTCCCTGGCTGGGCCTCGCCCTGGCAGTGGGTGGGACCTGCTGGGTGGAGTAGGGTGTCAGACACCAGAAGCACCATGCTCGCAGCCTTCTTGTGGAGAGAACACTTCTGAGGTTTCCAAGCCACTGCCACCTTAGGAAGAATGTACCTTGATGTCACACCCAGCCCCGAGTTCAAATTCCAGATCTGCCACTTGTGGCCTTGGCCAGGTCTTACCCTTCTGAGCCTCAGTTTGCCATTCTGTAAAGTGATGACACCATCTTCTTTGAAAATTGTATGTATACCTTGAAATGAAATGGTGCATATAAACCCTTCTGTCTCTCCCATCAATTTTCCACGACCCTTACCTACTCTCTACCCACTCTCTACCTTGGAGCCTCCAGAGCAGGCCCTGGTCTGCTGGGATGCCCTGCACCCAGGCCCAGGGTGTAGGCATGACACACTCTGGAGTTCCTTCACTCAGCTGATAGACTGTGTACTTGGGGAGGGGCTGAGGAATGAGGTCTTGGCTGTGGTGACCCTGGTGGCTGCCAGGGTCAGACATGGCAGTGGCTTCCATGTTCACTGTGCCTCCCTTTCCTGCATCTCTCTTCGGTCTCTGCAGCTGCATATTCATCTGGCACCTGGGCCCAGAGATTACCAACTGCATGAAGCAGCACTTGCTGGAGATAGACCACCATGAGCAGCAGCAGCAGAACACGAAGGACCAGAAGTGGAGTAGCCACCCCAGGTCCTGGCAGCCACCAACCGTCCCCATCTGTCCATTCACCAGAGGAGTGTCTCCCTATCCTGGGCCCCAGGAAGGATGATGCTGTGGCCAAGACAGCCCTGGGCCCTGCCCTTACTGTACTGGCAGCCTAGTTGGGGAGACTGACTTTGAATACAAGGCTATAGTAATATATATGATAAGGGGTTTGAAGCGGAAAAGCAGAGTGCTTGGAGAACCTCTGAATACTGATAAGGGAAAGCCCCAGGGGGCTGTGGGGACCAGAGAGGCCGCAGAGCCAGCCATTGGTGGTGATAGAGCTGGGAAGGCTACTGGAGGGGAGGGTACAGCAGAGTGGAGATGTCCTCTTTCACAGGGGAAAAGATTTTTGGTTTGACACATTCTTACTCTGTAAGTGAAAGTTTTTCCTTCACTGATTTCTTTGAGCCTTCTAAACTTTTTTTTTGTTTTTAAGTTACTATGCCACAAATCCAATTTTATTTGGAGTGAATTCATGTTCTCGTTTTGATTTGGGAGTTGGATTTGGGAGGCTCATTTTGAATGGGAGGTTTTTGGTTTTGTCTCTCTCTTGCCTCTGAATCTGTCCCTGTCTTTCTCTGTCTCATGGTTTTGCTTTTCCCTCCAGAAGGCTCATAGGTCCCTTGAGGACAAGGCCTTGACATGGCTCCTCTGTCCTGCAGTGGTATTAGGCGTATCACACATCTATGCACCAAGGGAGTGGGGAGCTTCTTTATTTTGAAGCACATATTCCACTTTGGGGCTAGGAGAGGGCCCTGGCTCTGGTCTCCACTTTTGTGTCAAGCATGTTATGGTGTCCTATACCCCAAAGGACCCAAAATTTCATGGCTACCAGCTGCTTCCTGGACTGGAACCCAGCAGTCCAGGGCTCAAGTCCCACTATTTACTTTGCTTTCTGTCTCAGTGCTATATGACCCTTGGAGAGTATATCTTATTTTTTGAACCCAGCCTTTGTTATAGCTCATTTATTGTGGCAGTATGTTTCTGGTGGAGGGGTTGTGGCTGGTGAGACCTCCCAATGCCATCTCGACTAGAAACAGAGAATACGTTCATAGGGAGCTTAGCATGGGCCCCAGTCGTAGCAAAACCTCCCCTCCCCCTCCATACACATATGTACGTACATTTCTCTTCTTACTGTCCTGGCCTCATTCTTGGCTTTAGGCAGGAGACATATGCATCCATGCCCAGTGAGATTAACTCCCTAAGCCCTGGAGACCAGACTGAGGATGAGCAGGAGCAAGAGTGTGAACCTGAGGAAATGCTGAAGACGCCATCCAAAGAGAGCTTGGATCCAGGTTGGGAGAGAAGGGCCCATAGGGGCCCTGTTTTGAACTTTGTCGGGGAAGGGATCAGTGGTGGGTTTTGCCCACTACTTTGTTTTCAGAGCCTGGCACATATTAAAGGTCAGTCATCATATCAGTTAGCACTCTTTCAGCATCCTAGTAATCAGGGTTAAGCTGGAACCAGAAGTTTTGGTTGTGTAACTGAAAAGTTTGAGAGTGCCGACTTCAGGCATGGCTGGTTAGGCCTTTTCAGTTTTAGAAGAGAACCCCCAAAAGCTCTCCAAACCCAGCTACTGCCCCAGTGCATTAGTCCCTCTGTCCCCCACACTTTTGCTAACATGTGATATTATTAAGCATTTTAATTTTGGTCAATCTTGTAAGTAAAACATTGTATCCCATTGTTTAAATTTGCATTTCCCTGACAATTAGTGAGGTTAAGTATCTTTGGATATGTCCGGCAGTTCCTGTCTTAGTTCTTTGGAGAACTGCTTGTTGCCCATTTGTTCTCTTTTCATGGATTTCATGTGTCTCCCCAGATCCTCGGTGCCTGCTGACCAATGGCAAGCTGCCGCTCTGGGCAAAACGGCTGGTGAGTCTGCCAGGAGGGTGAGATGCCAAGGGCTGGCGATGGAGAGGGGTCGCCCCACGCTCTTTTTTTCCTGCAAAGCCTCTTTCCCCTCCACATCTTTCCTACTCCTGAAGAACTCGTGCATCCTTGCAGCCTCAGCTTCGGCAGCCTTTCCTTCTCCCCACTTATTCACTGAGCCAGACATTGTTCCAGCCTCTGTAGATAACAGCAGGCAGCAAGACAGACAAATATCCCTGCTTTTGTAGGCTCACATTCTAGTGTGGGAGACGGACAATTCCAGCATTAAGTGAGTAAATTCTATAGACTGTTGAGAGCTGATTAGTGCTGTGGAGGAAAAAAAAAGTTGAGAAAGAAAATAAAGGGTGTAAAAAGCCTCCCTGGGAAGATATTTGAGCAGAGAGTCAAAGCAAGTGAGGCAGGCAAATACCGGGGACTATGTTCCCGGCAGACAGAACAGTCCACAAGTGCAAAGACCGTGAGGCAAGACTGTGCTGAGCATGTTCAAGGAAGAGGAGGAAGCCGAGGTGTCTCAGTGGGAGTCAGTAAGGGGGGGGAGTGGAAGAAGGAGGGAGGAGGTAATGGCAGCCAGATGATTTGGGGTTGTGTGAGCTGTGATGAGTTCCCTCAACGTTCCTTGTCCGCTGCTTTTTCTCTCTGTAGCATTAAGTGAGATGGAGCCAGGGGAGGCTTCGGAGCCAAGGAAAGCCATGGTCTAACTCAGGTGTTAACACGGCCCTATGGTTGCATGTGCTGAACAGGGAGAACAGGGAGTAGGCTCTGTGATAATGTAGACAGGAAAGGTTAGAGGCTGGATCAGGGGGAAGAAGTAATTGGATTCTGGATGGATTTTGAAGGTGAAGCTGATTGACTGGGTGTGAGGGAAAGGGGCCACGATGACATCAAGATGGAATGATTGTTGACTTGGGGGCAAGGCAGGCTGTGGGTTAGCAATGGGTTAGAAGCTGGCAGCAGAATGCTAATCCCTAGGTTTGAGAGTTTCTTTCAGGAACAGTGTCAGACTATGTCCCTTTGGAAAGACCACAGCATTCCCCCTCCCTTCCCACCTACAAGGGAAGCCTTAGGAATGAGATCAGGGCCTTGCATATGCTGGTCCTCTGCCTGGACCACTCTTCCTCATTCCTACTCATTCTTCAAGTCGAAGCTCAAACGTCAGCTCCTCGGGGAGGTCCTCCCTGATACCCCTCCCCTGCAGACCATGCCTGCGCAGGGCACACAGCTGTGCCCTCGTTAGCAGCACGTGTTACAATTGGAATTATATTCAGGGACTACTCATTGCACACTCCGTGTGGGCTCTGTTCTAAGCCCTTTACATGTATCTCATTTAATCCTCACTGTACCTCTATTGGGGTAAGGGCTTTTATTATCCCCATTTTTTAAACAGGGAAACTGAAGCCTAGAGAGTTAAGGAACTTGTCCAGGGTCACATAGCTAGGAATTAGGTTATGGGCTTGAACACAGGCAGCCTGGCTCCAGAGCCTGTGTTCTCCACAACCACTTTTCGCTGTCTCTCAAGCAGTGATAGGAGGCAGTGATAAACTCCAGAGTGGGAGACTGTGGAGAAGTGGCCAGACTTTGGGTGTGTTTAGAAGCCAGAGCTGACAGAATTGGCTAATGAAATATAGTATGGAGTATAAGGGACAGAATGAGAGAAGGATGAAGGATAATCCTGAGGTTTGGGGTCTGAGCAACTGGAGAGAATCACTGGGATTGGGAAGGCTTTAGGTTCTGAGGAAAAGAGCAGGAGTTGTGTTTGCAGTATGTTAACTTTGAAATATCTGTTATATATCCATGCTGAGATGTGGAGTGGTTTGATCTGCAATTCTGAAGTTTAAGGGAAAGATTTGGGCTGGAGCTAGAAATCTGGAAGTATCTAAATGGTGTTTAAAGCCAGGAGGCTGAGTGAGGTCTGTTCAGTGTCCCTGGTCCTCACTGGAGCTGGTGAGGTCTTGGCTGGCTGCCTGACCGTCCCATTACCCTTAGCTAGGAGATGATGATGTGGCGGATGGCTTGGCCTTCCATGCCAAGCGCAGCTACCAGCCACATGGCCGCTGGGCAGAGCGGGCTGACCAGGAACCCCTCAAGACCATTCTGGACACCCGGGACCTGGATTGCTACTTCACGCCCATGAAGCCTGAGAGCCTGGAGGACTCTGTGCTGGATACAGTGGAGCCACAGAGCCTGGCGGGCCTACTGAATGAGGTGCGTGTTGCCCGCTCTAGCCTGGCCTGCAGCTCCTGCACCGCAGCTGCCTACACGGGACTCGAGGCCTCGACGCTCTCATTTAAATGGGCTGACTCTTCCCACTTGCAGGGTGCAGACAGGATGATGTGAAATGGTGGCGGGCAGGGGCGTGAGGTCCAGGCCTGGAGCACAGCAAGACTTCCCCAGACAGGGGGTCTTTGGAAACCAGGCCCCTCCCTAGAGCAGGCCAGCGCCTGAGTCAGAATTCTGGCCCTGCCTCTGGCTGTGTGACCTGGAACAAGAAGCTGGCTTGCCTCTCGGGGCCTCGGTTTTCCCATCCAAAAAATGGTCATAACAGTATCCTCTGCCTTGCAGGGCTTTCACGTGGATCCAATGCTGAGAGCAGGGCCTGACCCCTCAAAGGTTCCCAAGAAATGTTAGGTGCCATCGAGTTGGCTCTGACTCATAGTGACCCCATGGACAACAGAGCGAAACACTGCCTGGTCCTGTGCCAGCCTCACAATCCTTGCTATACTCGAGCCTGTCCTTGCAGCCACCGTGTCAATCCATCTCATTGAGGGCCTTCCCCTTTTTCATTGATCCTCCACCTTACCAAGCATGACATCCTTCTCCAGGGAATGGTCCCTTCTGACATGAGCAAAGTAGGTGAGATGAGGTCTAGCCATTCTCACTTCCAAGGAGGATTCCGGCTGTATTTCTTCCAGAACAACTTTGTTAGTTCTTCTGGCAATCCAGTGTTCACCACCACAACTCATAGGCCCACCTTAGTCTTCAGAAAGGCATCTTTGATCTTCAGCACTTTAAAGAGGTCTTTTGCAGCAGATTTTCCCAGTACAGTATTAGCTCTTACTATATTGTTTTCCAGAAAAAATTTTTTATTCTGTAACATAAATTTTTTCATTTCTAAATAATATACATACAATAATGTATCCTAATCTTAAGTATATAATTCAGTGAATTGTTACCTCTATACCCATGTATAGGAGCTCTGGTAGCATAGTGCCTAAGGCACTTGACTGCTAACCAGAAGGCTGGAGGTTCAAACCCACCAGCCACTCCTCGGAAGGAAGATGGGGCAATCTACTTCCATAGTGATACTGCCTCGGAAACTCACGGAGGGGTCGCTATGAGTTGGGTCTGACTCGACGGCACATAACAACAACAACAATAACAACAACAACAACATCATACCTATGTATACACTTATGTCCACCCAGGTCAAAATATAAAGCATTTCCCCCTTGTGGTGCCCCTCCTAGTTAGTAACCCAAGGTAATCGATATTCTGACCTCTCTCTTGCCATAGACCAGTTTGCTTGTTCTTGAACTTCATGTAAACGACTCTTAGAGGGTTGAGCTTCTTACTGGTTGTGGAGCCATACTATTCCTTATTTGTAAAGGAGGAACACAGAATGAGCTCCTGGTGGGAAAAACAATTGCCACAAGCCTTGACCCATAGTAAATGTCACCATCATTGGCATGACATCTAGTGGCTTGCAAGGGCCCTGGTTGCCATGCCACCTCAGAGTGGCTGTGTTCTTTTGCCTTATAGTCAAAGAGTCCCCAGGAGAATGGCTGTGGGCATCCTTCCTTCCTGCACCTACAGAGGGAGTCTGAGGCCAGTGAACTAGTCATCTACTCGCTGGAAGCAGTGACAGCCACGGGGAAAGACAGGTGGGTGTCCTTTGCACCAAGGTGGGGGGCTTAGTTGGACAAAGGAAGCCTTAGTTGGTAGGTGCACCCTGGAAGAATTACTCTCTGCTCTCCCATTGGGCCTGTGGGTGTGAAGACCAGTGAAGTAGAGAGAGTGAGGCCTGGACAGGGCAGGTGTCCAGCCCTGTGGGCTCAGCTGCAGCCGCCATTTCCTTTATTCCAGGTAGAGGTGCAGGGGCTCCTGGGGGAAAGGGACGTTTGGAGAAGGTAGGAGAGGTTGAAGCATGTCCCAGTGGGAGCAGAGTGCAGAAGCCTAGAGTTCTGAGGGGGAAACAGTCGTTCATTCCATCTTACTCCTATCTCACTGCAGCAAGTACCGCTCAAAGGAGGGAGACAGGCCTGTAGACCAGCTAGATGACTCCTACCTCAGGATCTCTTCCATTGGCTCAAAGGAGCAGAGCCCACTTGAGGGTGAGTAAGGGGCTCTGTGGCAGTCTGTTCGTTCAGCCAGGGCCCCTTCTGAGCACCATGGGCAGCCTGGACACTGTTGACAACCTCCTAAAGCTCAGAGCAGTGCTGAAAACAGACATGGTCCCTGCCGTTACCTGAGGACTCTGCCACCTCCTCAATGTGTAACATAGCTGGTCCATAAAAATGGGGGGTGCTGTTATCATCCCTATACTCCAAATGGGGAAACTGAGGCCCAGAGCAGCGGAGTCACTTGCCCAGTAAGAGCCCTAGCTGTGGGCTCCTGATCCCCACTCACACTCTGTCCCTCCAGACTCGGAGGAGTCAGAGGCAGACTTGGAGTGCAGCTTTGGCACCGTCCACTCCTCCCCTCCACGGCCTGACCCAGACCCTCAGTTTGACATGAAGGTGCCCCATATACCAGGTAAGCAGGGGCCAGACACGGAGAAGGGTTTGGCTTAATGGTGATCAAAATATATAACCACTGGTCCCAGTTACCCCTGAACTTGGCACTCAGTGAGATTCAGTTTCTTCACCTGGAAGATGGGGCCTTTCCTTCTCAGCCTATTGGCAACAGTGTGTGACAGGCGTGCCCAGCTTTGTCCATCGCTGAGTGGCATCTTCTGTGACTCATGGTGTTGACAGCCTCTCTCCTCTTCTCCCCGCCCTTTGCCACCTGCTTCTCCTCTCCCCAGGACGGCTGGCTGCTGGAGAAGAAGAGCTGTCCGTACCAGAGGGCCTAGGCCTACCCAGCAGCTCCCTGCCCCAGACCCCTGAGCAGGAGAAGTTCCTCCGCCACCACTTCGAGACACTTACCGATGCCCATCCTGAGGGTAGGGCCCTGCCTCTCTCTCAACCCTGCCCGGGCCCGTCCAATGCTGAACATAGAGTGGGCGCCTCTGAGGTAGGGCCTGCCCTGGCAGGACCAGTGAGGCTGGGGCTGGGAGGGCACAGTTTATCTTAAGGACTGAGCTGCACAGTTCCTCCTCCCCATTCGCTCCTGAGGTGTACGTATGTATTGTTTGTTGATGGAGGTTTCTGGGAGTGTACCTGCTGGTCTCGGTCTGCATGGGTCCAGGGTAAGTTGGCCAGAGGGAGTCTGAGGGTTCCCTCATCTTTTCCTAGAGCACTTCCACAGGACCCTGAGAGATGTGAAGGTCTCTGAGGCTGAAGACTTCCTCCTCAGTCCCCGGCTAAGCATCTCAGCCCAGTTCCTGTCCCACCTCCAGAAGAAACCCAGGTAGAGCTAGTGACCCCTTACCATACCCTCAGCTCTGTATCCTTTCCCCACCCCAGGCTGTGTCCCTCAGCACCCCCAGGGCAGGCTGAATGAGTGTCCTTCCCTCACCTGGTTTTCTCCCCACAGGTTCACTCACACTTTCCCGCCCCAGCTTCCCCCACACCTCATGAAGCCCTCAGAGGACCAAGGGGAGGGGAACCAGCCCAGAGCAGAGGGCCTGAGAGCAGGCACTGGCTACACCTCCCCAGATCAGACCAATGTGAGTATTGGGGTTGCCTCCCTCAGGACATGGGGCTGGTGGCCAGGAGGCCTTGTTATCACCTCTGAGCTGTGCTTCAGGTCCTTTCAGGAGAGAAGACTGAGGAGATCCTGGAGACCTTCGAGGCCTGGCGACCGCTGAGTGAGTTCCCATCCCCAACAGCGCTTCCTCAGCAGTGGCTCTGGGTGCCCAGCTGAGCTGAGTGGGGATGGGCAGCCACCCTGGGGTGGGGGCCTGTCCAGCAACTCCACACCTGGGGTGTGACAGTGAGCTGTCTGCTTCCTTTATAGCCCCCTGCCTCACAGGCCTGGTACCCTGTGCCCCCTCCTCATCAGTGCTGCCCACAGACAAGAAGCCCCCGCCACCCTCATCTGTACCCACCCCAGGCCCGGCTCAGGGTGCCTACCTTCCCTCCACCAACTCCTACATGGAAGCCACTGCCAGCTCCCGTGCCAAGATGTCACGCAGCTTGTCCCTCAGGGACGGTGCTGGTCCTGTCCTAGCTGAGCTGGCCAGGCCCCTCCGCAGGCCCTCGTCCATGGGGGAGCTGACATCCCTGGGCCGGCAGCTCCGGCCCACCACTACCACGGCAGCACCCGGTTCTGGCAGTGAAGGCCGACATCCTGCCCTGCCCTCCTGGGGCAACCATGAAGCCCGTGCCAGCCTGACACTGACCCTATCAAGCATCTATGATCGGTTCCTGCTGCCCCCTTCCCCACTGGAGACGCCTACAACACGTACCTGGTCTCAGGAGCCTGTGGCCACCCAGCCCTGTGCTACAGTCACAGCAGCCAGCTTCCTGCCCCCCAGCGCTGTGCATATGAGTGCCCTAAGGCATCATGACTCCTTTCTCCCAAGTCTCCCTGACCCCGAGCCCCTCCATCCTCCCACCCACCCCAATAGCTCCCAGGTTCCACAGACCAGGCCAGAGATTCCTGGAAGCACTGCCTCCCTCCTGAAGCCCACCCATGGTGAGTGCCACCTTTGAGGTGAGGGACTGTCCTCAAAGCTCACCTCATGTACTAGCCGGCCCAGCTCCAAGCGTGGGCACTTGTCCTGGCCACAGGGACAGTGCCATTATTTATTTGTTCATTCATCTGACAAATATTTAATCACCACTTTGCGTGTGTTGGGCTTTATCCTAGGCCATGGAGACGTGGGGAATGTTGGTAAATGAGACCACGGAAGTATCTGCCCCTAGAGGACTGGTATTGTTAGTTGGGGAAGCCATCTAGACAAAATCTAGAAGAAAAGTGTATCATGAAGTAGTATACACTGAGGAGACAAATGAAGCAAAAAAGGGGTCAGGGAGTGAGAAGTGGGGGCAGTGGTTGCAATTTTAAACAGGGTGATGAGAAAAGGCTTCAGGGAGAAGGTGGCATTTGAACAGAGACCTTCAGGAGGGGGAAGAATGGGAGGCTTGGGAACTGAGAGTGTTCCAGGCGGAGGGACATCAAGGCCAACAGCTAGGATCAGCCAGGCCATCTCATCTCTTTCAGACCAGCGACAGTATAGAGGCTTCTTAGTCCCTCTTCTCTTTACCCCTAGATGCACTCGGTGTGGTCCAGAGCCTCCCTGGACACTGGAAGGAACCCAGCGTGCCAGCTGAGGTCCTGACCCCAGCTCCCCTTGAGCTAAGCAGTGTGGAAACCATCGTGCACAGACTGCAGACTGCCTTCCAAGAAGCCCTTGACCTTTACTTTGTGGTAAGCCAAGCCCCAAGGTTGGGGAAAAGGGCTGAGGGGGCTGCCTGGCCTAGATGGCCCTGACAGGTTTGGTGTCCATCACAGGTGGCCTCCAGTGGCCAGGCCAGCACTGAGCAGCAACAGGCACAGACCGCACTGGCCTCCACCTTCCTTTGGATCCACAGCCAGCTGGAGGCCAGCTGGCTGAGTGGGACAGAGATGGCCCCAGCCCGGGCCCTGCCCAGCCCAGGTCCCCGCTCCCCACCTACACTCTGCCCCCTGGCCAGCCCAGATTTACTGTCCCTGCTGGAACACTACTCGGAGCTGCTGGTGCAGGCTGTGCGGAGGAAGGCAGAGGAGGACTGAGGGCCACTAGTCCTCCTCCACTGCAGCCCTGCTGTTTCTGAAAAGATAATGTATTTTCAGCAAATAAACTGACAGCTTAAAGGAATAGTTCCTGGTACATGTGTGGCCCAACCACAAAGCCCCATTCAGGATGTGGAATAGGTGGAGGTGATGCTCAAGTGGACCAGTCTGAGGGGCTCCTGTTTGCCCCAATGCCGGGCCCCTGTTCCTGGACTCCATCAATGGGGAACATAGTACCAATTTCCCCAAGAAATTTGGGGCCTGCAATAATTGTGACCCCCAGGACCTAGCTTCCCACATCCCTTATCCCTGGCCCATTAAGGGAATCATGGAGAGTCATTTTTGGTCCTTGCCCAGTGAAGCCCAGCTTTACCAAAGGTAGGGGCTGGCCCCTCTTCCTTGCGCCCCACTGATACCCAAAACCCCACAGGGAATACTATTATTACTGTATGCCGGACCTTACCCACCAGTACATGTGTTACCCTATCACTGGCACATGGTCTCTGGGCCAGGCCCATGCTGGATTCTACATGGTCCAGGTTGTCGATGACCTCATCTGTATCATGGTAAACAGGAAAGACAAATAGGCTTGTCCACTGTGCCATGCCACCTATTCTGGTTACCTAGTGCTGCTCTGACAAGAATATACCACAAATGGGATGGCCTTAACAAACAGGAGTTTATTCTTACAATTTGGAGGTTTTAAGTCC